TCCCCCCCCCCCCAAAAAAAAATTAAGTTTGTTTTTAAAAAATATTTTTAATTTCAAAATTTTATTTTATTTTACCCCATCTCACCCCTACGTGGCACTATCTTCTAGGCCCAGCGCGTGTTGACAATTTTTTCAAGTTATCTGGTTGATAGTACCACGTAGGACGAAAAGGGGTAGAAAATTATTTATAAAATAAGTTCGGGGTGGGGGTAATAGGACCTTAGTATAATATAAGTGTGTCTCTGAGATTTCGGGGATAGGTTGAGGGGTACTTATGAATTTTCCCTTATTTAAATGCATCTCATGCGGAACCTAAAAGATTTCTTGAAATCCATGTCAAATTAAAAATTGGGGCACATGAAGAAATATTTAAAAAATATATAAAATTTGATTAACTCTTGAAATTCTCTTATAGAGTCTAAATTGTAACATAAGGAGCAATATTTTACATTTAAAAATTATATGAAAAATATTATAAATTAAACTAATTAACGTATTTTAGTGCACCTTCAAAAGCCTCCACAAATTCTTCTCTTATATGGGGGACCTAACTATAAGTTCCTTGTTTACCAAAAAACAAAAAGAAAAGGACAAATTTTATTTAATGTCATTTTTTGTCATATCATTTTATGTTCCCACATGAGGAAAATCTAGTGGTCTAAATGAAAACCCTATCATTTTACGTTCCCACAGAAGTTCACATCAAATGGATTTCTGAAGAAAATCTATCAGAAAACACATGCACAAAGAAACAAAATACTCAAATGACAATTTTGAGTTGTGATGAGTGAATGAGTGACCCCAACTTTTTCTCTGTTTTAATTTATATGCTATAGTTTAAAATAATGTTAATTTTTTTTTAAAAATACTATACTACTAGAAAATAGCTAAATTCCTCCGATGGAAGTCGTCAGAAAAGATGTGATCTCGTCAGGTTTGATTTTTATCAAGTGTTTCTATGAAGGGCTTTCCGGCTGAATGAATCCAATTAGAAAGAAAATAAATAAAAAAAGAAAAATGAGCGTAAAAGGTAGCATAAATAAATTTTGTATATTAAAAATATTAGCAAGAAAAAGAAAATATTTATAAAGTTAAAGTTTTAATAAAATAAAATTGTCGTAATTTCACTCTCTTTAAAAAAGTAAATTGTATTTTCTTTGTCATCTTAACATTTAGGGAACAAATAATTTCGCTACAAAATAGTCCAAAAGGGTAATAAGGCCCCGGTAAAATATAAATGTAGTTAAAAATTGGCTAATAGGTTGGGCAACATTTGACTTTATTTTTTTTTCCTTTTAAATTTTCTGGGGATGAAAGTGTAAGACCATAATGAAAATTATTTAATGCATGGTAAATGCTGAACTGGAATTATTACACCCTTAAAAAAGTCACAATCGTATCAATGCTCACCAGTGAAAATTCAAAATTGAAATTCAGGATTCCGTTGAGATCACATCATCCGCTCGTCAGCTTTTGGTGAGACCTTAATTACTTTTGGAAGACTCCAATTTTTATGACTTGTTAGTAGTAGCGTTTTGAGGTGTTGTGGGTCATGTCCCTAACACCTATCTTTATACAGTAGAAACTTCATAGATAGACAGTTTAGTTTAAGATATTTTAGTTAAAACTTAATGTTTGATACTCAGTATTTTCAAATAGTTTTGAGATTTAATAAACTGTTTTTAAATAATTCTTCAGTTTTGATTCTTGTGTATGCTTGAGTTAGTCTTTCACTTAGTAATCAGTCATGACAAGGATTCGCTTGGGAATCAGCAATGATTCTCGAGTGTCAACCACGTCCAGAATGTAAAGTCGGAACGTGACAATTCTTTAGTCAAGCAATGAGAAAGATTGATTGGTCGTTCTTCTAATTTATTGTGCTTCTTGGAAAATAAAATTTCGTCCCTTGTGAACTTCAACAACAAAACTCCATCCGAAATGGGGCAAATCTTTATTAAATAGCTTCAAAATTTAACCATAATTTCAAAATGATATAAAAAATTTACCACAATCATCAAATCTAAATCCATTTGTGAATTTTCATAATTTTTATAAAATTATAGATTTAAATAGTTTGATCCATGATGATTGATTAAAAGGTCAATAGAGAAGGAAAATCATTTCCTCGTCTTAAATTGTCGTAGGATGCTATGTTTTTTAAAAAAATGATGTTATGTCATGTCATATGTGCCTGCAATTGAGATTGATACAAATTGTTGAATAGAATGAGCAAAGTGAGAGGAAGGAAGTTGATGAAAGTCGACATATATTAATAAAACTTCAACTTCATATTTCAAATCACGATTTCATTATTGCATGTCTGAACAATCCCTTATTAATAAAAAGTACAAACAGAACAAATCACGATTATCAACACCATAATGAAAATTATAGTTTTGCATCACGTATAAAGATGAGATCTTTGATGTCATCATCAAGATCAAATAATTGCATGCAACTTTCCTTCAAGTCCACTTGCACACCAATTTCAGGTCCAATATCATGCAACCAAAACATTTGTGTATCTTTCATTCCGAAAAATATTAAGTTTGATTTTCCCAAACCAAAATCAGAATCGTGCACAGGAAACTTACATATACTTGTACACATAACTTTATCAACTTCATCGTTACCTCCCCACTCTGGTGATCGAAAACTTTCATTATATGAATTAACCAACATTGACACTATTTCATCTGGTGAATTAGCGTTTTTACATAAAGCAACAATTTTATTCACCGCATTCCTGATTAATATTATGAAATGATGCAATTCCATTTTGGTCTCTCCTGGTATGAATTTTACTGGAACACCAATCATAAAATTCCCAAAAGAGTTTTTCACTTGAGGTAAAAAGGTAATTTTGGAGCGCATATTCATTGGAAAGTCTAGTAGAGAAGGCCTTAAATACCCGTTTATAATTGTTGTAGCACGGATAAAAGCCCTCCATAGGAGTGCTGTAATAATCTCAACCCTTGAAGGTTGAAAAATCAAAGCTCCATCTGATTCATCAATGCATTTTTTTCTGAGCCTTGACATAACAGGCTCACGGATGACAATTTTCTTAACAACAATATCTTGTTGTATAACTGGAATGGGGGTTGACTTGAAAAGTTCTGATACATCTCTTGTTGGAAAAATATCACCCATATTGAAGCTTAGAAAATTAATCTTGTCAACGGAAGTCCCCATTCTACACACTTTTGCCCACTCAGAAATAAATTGAAAATCTGAGAAACCATCCATTGCAGGATGTGAAGTACTGATTGATATAGCGAGTCCACCGCATTCGAACTTAGTTACTTGTATTGTGACAATTGGTGAAACCATGAAATTAGTTTCATTGATATTCTTGTTTACATGTGGGCTAAACAAAGCCGCATGACCAAAGTCATTGCGTGCTTTATCTAAGAAATTATCCAGCGTACCATTGGTCATAGCCTTAGTATAGGAAATGCCTTGATCAAGACAAAGAATCGAACAACATTCATCTTTGTCATCATACCTTCCTGCTGCTGGATAAACATGAGTTAATACCTTTGAAAGGGATTGCTCAAGTCGTTCATCCATGTCGAAATTATTATAATTATGAAAGAAAAAAACCATAGAAACATGTTCTTTTGCAGATATTTGGTCAAAAAAAGAGATCTTGTAACGCTGAAGGTGAGGGGGGGTAGGTAAAAATGGCTTAATGAGCTTTGTGCATAAGATTTTAATTTCCATTTTTGCTACTCAACTCAACTTAGGCTACAATTAAATATGTGACAAACTCCCAACTATATATAGCAGCAAGAAAAGGTTTTATATGTAAGCTCAACGTCATACTCTACGTCCTATATATTTAATAATATACAAAGCTTTCATATATATTTTTAACAAAAATATTTTAGCACTTGATTTCAAATATTAATATATTATACCCCTAATTTACAATATTATACAAAAAAAAATTAACTTCGTCTTTCTTTCTTGAATTCAAACACCATATTCATTAAAAAACACCTTAAAAATTATATCATATCACCAAAAAATTTAGATTTAAGTTCCTCAATATGTGGCCTGTCTTTTTGCAAATAAATGAATATATATATATATATATATATACTAGATAATGTAGCCCGTGCATAGCACGGGCCCAATAATATAAATGATATATTTTGGGGCTAATAACTGAGTTTTTGAAGCGATTGTTTGCGTGAATAAAGGAATAAGTTTTTTTTATCACAAACCTGTACTTTCTTTGACGCTA